ACAATCGAGCGGAAATGAAGATGAATTGCAAGCAGCTTGCGGTAGACTCATGTATACAACACCTTCAAGATTTACGAGAACAAATCAGTCAAGATCATGGAATACGGGTAATGGTTCTCCAGATGCTATTTGCTTTTCCGTCGATAGACCAGGCATTCTTATAGCGGGTGTTGGTATCTATGGAGGTGCAGGAGTATATGATTATGAATTGGAATTGTTAGATGATGTAAGTAATTTTATACATATATATATATATATATATATATATATATTCCATTATAATTCAATATTCAAATAAAGAACTTTTATTTCTTCTAATATATGTATAATATTTAGTATCGAAACACTTAGTGTGGCTAGATATATAATATTTTTCTAATAAAAATCGGAGCAGACATAGATTCTATTTGATTACAAAGTCATATTATTATGTTCAAATTTCATTTATCTTATCAAAAGTCATACTAAATAAACAATATTACACATCCTAAGAATGAGTAAAAAAAATTCTCATTGATCGATTGATTGCTGTTTATACTAGTTATTGTTGTTAAAAAATCAATTAATTTATTGATGTTCTTAAATTCAATTAATTTCTATATCGATTTTTTCATTTGATATTATTAAATTTCATTACTAGAACGTATGGCGAATATTTATTACTCATTTTTATTCATCTATTGTGGATTAAAGTCTGGTTTTATATTAATATTGGAATATATTTCCTGTTTCTAATTCTATCTGAAACTGTCTAATTCTGTCTTGAATTCTATTGTTTATTATATTTAAGCTTTTAGGCTTATTTGAAATTCAAATTGCGATTAATCCAATTGAATTAATTAAATATTTACATTTTGTAATTAACAAACATTTTGTAATTAACAAATGTTATCATTAATTAAGTTAAAAAAATAAAACTTTGGTCACGTTTACATTTTGTCAATTAAAAATTAATTAGTCATACATATAAATATATATAAAAGGAAATTAATGGATTATTATTTATATTTTTGAGATACATTATGATATAAAAAAATTTTTTTTGTGAAATTGATTATATTTGAATAAATTAATAATATATATAAAATAATAATAAATAAATTTATTCTTTCCTAACAGTAATTCTGATATAATTATGAGTATCGACGTGCACGTACAGAATTCTAGAATTCTTATAAATTATAGGAACTCTATGGAATTTTGCGATCGGTGGCCATCTATCGTGTGCCAGGTCAACCTCGCGGAAATAATCGGTCAGCGAATGCTCCTAGCGAAGAATCTACGCCTAACTTTACGCTTTATGTCTCGATAATATTTCTACGAGATTTTCCGACAATTCTCGAAACGCACTATATCGATTAAACTTCGCGTATCATTAAGATGGATCAGGTTATATCTCTTACCGCTGAAAAACGCAAAACGAGCTTCGAACAAACGCCGAGGATGTCACACGACCAATCACTACAAATCGCTATTTTGTACTGATCATCATGTCGGAGACGCGAGCGGTTTTTAACGCGCATGCGCGTCAGTGCGCAAGTACTTTGACATCAGTGATGGATCAAAGCATTTCGAAACCCTGGAATTTGACCAAATTCTGATTAACCTATGCTCATTTCTGGCATTGACTTACAAATTTTTATTAACTTTAATCTCGATTCAACTTATTCTTCTAATGCCTGTTTCTATCAATGTAAATTAACTTTAATTTTAATTCAATTTAGTCTTTCTCTTTTTCTAACTCTTACAATTAGCAAAAAAGGATGAAGAGTTAGAACTGAGATTGAAATTTAAATTAAATTATTTTGGTAGAAACGTGCATATACTCATTTTTATAACCAATGTAATTTAATTTTAATCTTGGTTCAACTAATTTTTCATTCTTTTTTTAGTTCTAAGAATTAGAAAAAATTAAAAAAGAATAAATTAAATCGAGATTAAAATTAATCTGTTAGATGTACAACTTAATTCTCGGTCTTTTTAACAAAAATATGTTAATGTTCTTTTTTTTCTTCACTTTTTTCTTCTTTTTACGTTAGGCTTGTGATATTATATGCTTGTAGTGCGCTGGTTATTCAATAATTGTTACAAAACATATGGGATCTACAATTTTTGTTGTTGTCCATCGGCGTTTTTCATCTTAGAAACTTTTCATCTTAGAAATTGCCATCTCGAAACTTTTGAAATCACTCTTTACATATATTATAAGACAGAGCATTTTCACCTAAGGCAAATCATTTTCTTAGCCTCGCTGGCATTTTTCTTCAGTCGGAATGTGAAAAAGAAGTAGTGCTTCAAATGCTACTTTTCGAATGACATTGCTCTCACTACTATATTTTGAGATTACGAGTATATTGGCAGCATTGTCAACTATTATATCTTGTTTTAAAGCTGAAAGATGGTGCTTTAACTATATGATGGATTATATGATGGAAAAAAAATTTAAATAGGTAAATTTGAATAGGTGTTGTAATCGATTAAATATAGGGGCCGAGAATTAAGTTGTACACCTAATACTTTGGTAAAAACTGGTAAAATTCTGAGGATTAGAAAGAGAAGATGAATGGAATCAAATATTAGGTAGTATAGTCTTTGTACAAACTGAAATTAAAAATTTATACAATAAAATGTATTGTTTATACACGTTGCCTTTCAATACGTATTTTTTATAAATGTTAGTTATTACAAAGAATGTTGTCAAGGCTTTGGTGATCGAACAGTAAGAGATACGGATTCAAATCTCGGTCGAGGTAATATTTTTCATAATCAATTCTTTACAAGTTCTTTTTAAGATATTAATAGCATCAAGTTAATGATCTTATTGGAGGAATTATTAATGTTATTTCAAATTGATTGTATTGAAAGTCCGAAAATAATCGGCGCGCAATCATATTTTTGAAATAATTTTGAGGTAAAAATTTACATAAAATACATACCTATATGTATAGGTAAGTACGACGTATCTATCTAACATCTAACTTTGACAGGGAATGCCGTAATTTCACTTCTCATATTCAATGGTGATGAAAATTTATATCTATTTTCTGTATAAAAATTAATATTGCATTCACATTAAATAGTTCAATGAAAGAGAGAGGAGGGAGGGGGGAGAGGGAGAGGGGGAGAGAGAGAGAAAGAGAAAAGAGATCAACATTTATATTTAATAATAGAATTTTATTAATAATAGAAGTTTAAATTAAAATTTTAGCTCTATAAAGCTAGCAGGACCAAATCAACAGAATCGAATTGGACTTATCGGAATTTTTAGTGTAGAGCTGAAGCACTTTTCCGACCAGTCACGATTGCGATTTTTACGTTTTTCTCTGTCTTACTCCAGATCACAACTACATTACATTTCGTTACATCTTGTTCTCGCCCCATAGCCCTTAACTTAAGCTAGCAGCATAAAAAAAATCATAGGGGCAAAATTAATATAACTGAATTTGTTTAATCTATATCATTGAAAATAAGTTAATATTTTACATGTTTTTTCCTTAAAATGAAAATATTAGTATATACTTACAATCTATGAGGCATTCTCCGTCAAACCGGACATCTTTGAAATATCGTCATTTTATTTTTTTTTTTAAATTTATTAACATATTCTACAGAAAATTCTACAAAAATATAAGACACGTGTTCCGCGAAAAAAATTTGAGATTTTTTTTGTAAAGTTATTCACACTTAGAAATATATAAAAAACGCGCTCATGCAAACGTTCAAATTATTATATCGTCAAAACCATTAGTCGTACAAAAAAATGCAAGAGCCTGATTTTAAAGATCTTAAATTGTTATATGGATATATTATTTTAATTTATTATTTTCATAAAAATGAATCACTTTCCATTTGTTTACAATTTTTATCAACATTTTTCATTGTCAGTTCAATTTAAAAATTTCAGCTCAATTTAAAAATATCATATTCAAATTTCAATTATGAAGTAATCCTTCAAAATGGAACTCAAATTTTTTAACTATATTACAGAGAGAGTTGATAGTTTTTTAAATTACATTACAGTTAACTGTACAGTTCATTCGAGTTCTATTTTGAAATGTTCAGGATTACTTCATGATTGAAATGGGAATATGATATTTTTAAAATTGATGAGTTGATAATGAAAAATGTTGATAAAAATTATAAACAAACAAATGGAAAATGAATTATTTATATAAAAATGATAAATTAAAAATAATTCATCCATAGAATAATTTAAGATTTTTTAAATCGGTCTGTTGCATTTTTTTGTACGACTAATAGTTTCGACAATATAATAATTTGAATTTTCGCATGAGTGATGTTTTTTATGAATTTCCACAATATAAAAACGTAAATAATTTCACAAAAATCTCAAATTTTTTTCGCGAAACATGTATCATATTTTTATCTGTAGAAATGTTAGCAAATTACAAAAAAATAAAATGACGATGTTTTTCAAAAGTGCCTGGTTTGACGTGAAATGCCTCATAGATTATAAATATATACTAATAAAATCATTTTAAGGAAACATATAAAAAAGAAAACATATAAAATTAACTTTCAATAATACAAATTCAGTTGTATTAATTTTTGCTCTTATTTTTTTTTTGTATGATCCTGCGAGCTTAAATATTAAATTAGCAGCGCTATTGATTTCTTGGAAATGACATATTGTTTTTTTTTTTTAAATTTTTTTTTTTAAATTTTTTTTTTTAAATTCCTATCAGCTTAATATCAAGCTAGCACCGCCACAATTTTGTTCGAATGGCACACGGTACAAAATTATCATTAATGGTACAATTTAGTAAAATGAGTAAATGACTAAAAATTCCGATAAGTCCAATTTGATTCTGCTGTTTTGGTCCTGCTAGCTTTATTCAGTTGAAAGTTTTTTTCATTTTATTTTAATTATTTTTTTAAAAACATGTCTACTTCTTATTAAAATAATGTTTGATTTAAATTTTAAATTTTCGTCAAACTTTTTATATTAGGGTAAGTGGAAGGAATGTGCCACACTTAAGCGAAATTAGATTTTTGAATAATTATTTGTTCAATTTAAAAAATTTTATACACTGATCTTCTTCTTCCATCCTTTATCTATTTGCATATGATTGCAATCAAATATTTTTATTTTTTGTTATTAAAAATAAAGAAATACGAAGGTGTTAAAACATAGGTACCAATGGATAATACACCATAAAAAAAAATATTAGTTACAATATTACATTGATTTATTTATTGTGCAAAAATACATTATGAATGATTTTTAAGACAAAAATAAACATTTGTAAGATAGGAAATAGAAATCGACCAAGTTAATGTAATAATATAATATAGTAAAGAGCACCTTAGCATTGATCAAAGTATTGTATATTTGAAATAATATAATCTTCTTGATTCGTGAATTTAATTAATCTCAAATGTAATTGTGCGCCGAAACGTTCGGATATTAAAATACAATCAATCTGAGATGCTAATAATCGCGAGTTAAAACGAACATTCGCGAGTATATATAATTCCCCCCTTCCCCCAATTCAAATAAAAAACTTTTATTGCGAAAAATATTATACCTCAGTCATACCAGGAATCTAGGATCTCTTGACTTTCCGAGGCGAGTGTCTTAGCCATTTGTAAGATAACTTCGATAGGTTAAGTTATGTAACATAAACTTGTAACATAGCAACATTTCTTAATTTGGATAGATTAAATTACTTAATATTTAGAAGTATTTCAGATATTTATTTTATTTTCAGAAATTTGATCAAGCTTCTGTTAATGAAACCCGACTCTAAGAAGCTCGATCAGTCTTTTTTCTATTCGAAGCATTCTTATCTGAAACGTATAAAAGTATGTGATGTATAAGTATGAAATGTATATTTGTATTACTCTTTATTTATGTTTACATATTGTTATAAGTAATTTAAATTCCCAGTAATCGAGAATGGATTAAAATGGATTAAAGAATTACATTTCTTATTCAGAATTTTGAATTGAACAGTAAATTAATATATAGTAATAAGCAAATAGATAAATGTTTAGATTTTTTTATTAATTATTCGTCAATACGGATATTTCATCACAACGGGATTATGCGTAATGTTTGTTTATAACGCCTTAATTTATTATCCTTAGAGAAAGTGACAGTACTGGCATTTTATCTTAACAAAAGTAGCATATTGCTCCATTTTATTTTATGATGAACTTGTACAATACAGCTGTTAAGAAATGAATCAATGACGTACTGAATATTTTCATTTCAACCTATATTAATAGGTTAACAAGCTAATTAAGCTAAATATTGTATGTGTAATTTAAATAATATCGTACATAAAACATGAAAATTATAAGGAGCACATACTTGTTTCATGTATTACGCTGTCATATTTATCTTATAAAAACAATACTATTATCAGGAAATTGTTAATGTTTGTGTAATAAGCATACAATTGTAAACAACTTTAGCTACATTCGGCAATGCAAATTTGAGGCGTGCTCTTTTTCTACAGTGCACGTGACATATGCTACAATATAAGAGCACTCCGAAGCCTCAAATTTACATTATCGAACGCAGCTTTTTTTGCACTGATATAAGCGCTGCTAATCAGTATCACTGTTAAACACAACGAGTGATATATTCCCCCAACTGGCGTATTACTCACAGTTACCTTACATTTATAAATATAACATAGAAAAATCTAGTTTTTTTTTTATAATTTTTCATAATTCTTTTTATGATTTTGTTTTTAAAAAACGTGCAATATATCTATTCTTGATGTCAGTATTTTCGTTTGATGAAAAAATCTTCCGAGACTAACTTTGAGCTTAGGAAACAGGAAAAAGTCATTGAGGATCAGATCTGATGAATATGGTGAGTAATTAATTACCACAATTCATAAATTTTTGTTATGGTGATCGTCAATATTCGATTTTTTCTATTTTTACAAAAACAGTGACATCAACGGGCACAAATAACTCTCAAACAACAACTGACCGTCTAAAATGCTACAATTTTCTACAATTTTTTTCAGATATCATGGGGTGCGTATCGAGGTGACATGAAGCATCGTGTCCTTGTTGTTTTCCAAATAATAAAGAAGGATAAAATGTATAATATATCATGTGCTTCATGCGTAACTCGGAACGCACCTTTGCGTCATCATACAAAACATGTACGATTGTAGGTACCAGCACAGTATATACAATAACAACTCTTTATCAGCACCTTTGATGTTAGTATTGGCCAAAATGGAGTGCTCATGCGTGAAATAAGTAAGTTACCACGATTACCATCTAAACTTCTTCCTCTTTTCATCCTTTTTTCATTCTGTTAAAATTCACTAGATTTATTCGCATCCAACGAATTCGTTGAAGTAAGTACTATTGATAGGAGCATATTAGAGCATGCGACACGAATAAATCTAATG